GCATGATTCCTGCTGGGATCTGATCACTGACAGGGTGGAGATGTTTATTGCCTGGGCCTTGTTCTTCCATTGAGCTGCTTCGTAGGACTTGTCTGACTCTTTGCAGGTATTTGGTCGTAGCCTGTTTCCTTGTTGTCTCTTCGAGGAGCCGTTTGCTTGTGGGACACTGAGGAACTTGTAACTGTCCTCAACATCTGCTGTTGTTCCCTCTGGGAGTGAGACCCCCTCTGTGCTTTTTTTGTTTGTTTTTTTGTTTTTTTATTTTCTTAATGTCTCGAAATAATGAGATAATATCTTTTAAAAAAAACAAACAAACAAAAAAAGTAAGGAAAAAAATTATTATTATTATAATTTTTTTTACACTTGCCGCTCAGGGTTTCCGTAGAACATTCTTCGCATAAAAAGTGGTTTAATTAAAACTTTTAGTGTCACAGCATCATTTAGACTTTATTTTTTTATTGAACCGTATCGAATCGATTTGAAATGTATCGTATTGAATCGTATCGAATCAGAAGCTCACTGTACGAGACACGTATCGTATCGTGGCCAGTGTTTTGAGGTATGAATCATATCGGCAACTTCATAATGACACCAGCCCTGCTCCACACACCTTCACTGGATCACGTCAGTCCCACAGTCTCCACTGAACTGAAGGGAAAAGGAGCTGTTCACTTCATGACATCACAGGGTGGAACAGAGTGTTTGGAGCTTTAGACAGACTCACCTTTTCTGTGGCGAACTCCAGAGGAACCAAACCTCGAGTCAAACGGAGCACATCTGAAACAAAACACAACAACTAAATAAACACACGAGGAAGTTCCTTAAAGCTGCATTGTGTCTCTTGTCTCCATGGAGATGTTACTGCTTTGTCTGGAATGTTCCGCAGTATGACATTAAACCTTTCTATCTTCATGGAGACCAAACCAGACACCGTCACAGGTCAGATCTGCGGAGAGGCGACCCCCACTCACAGGCAGAATGTTGTTTGTCGAGGTATTTTTGAGCGATAAAACCTCCTGTGATTGAATAAATGTAAAATCGAGCTGTTTAATGTCACACTGCGGAACATTCCAGGCAGAGCAGTGACGTATCCACAGAAACGAGCAGAACCAAAAAAGATCCACAGTGCGCTGTTACCTTGGAGCGGCCTGTAGGGGGCGCTCTGGTCCTGATCCGGTCTCTGGTCTCGGTTGATCAGATACAGGACCAGGATGGACTCCAGGAGGCTGAGGAGCATCAGAGAGAAGATCCCGATACAGAAGACGGCTGGAACAGAGGAGAGGGACTGTGACCTTTGACCTTTAATAAGAACACGGCTGGAACAGAGGAGAGGGACTGTGACCTTTGACCTTTAATAAGCCTCTGTGGATGTTCATGAGGTCATTCTGAAGATCCAGTCAAATGAAGCTCATTGGGGGTGATGGTTACAGCATTCACCACCTGGTGAGGGTCATGGACGACAAAACCTCCCGTCCTCCAGGTGGACGTACAGGAGCCTCCGTTCCTGCTCTACCAGACTCACTCACTGCTTCATCCTCCAGACTGTGAGGAGCTGAACTCTCTCCTCTGTCACCACCAGGAAGCACGAATCTGTGTCTCCCTAAACACGAACTTTGGACTTTTATTTTATTATTATTTAACCTGTTACCATCCACCTCATTTTGGCGTGTGCACAATAGCACTACATACCCAAGTGCCATAGCTTATTAAAAGAAAACCTTAGAAGTGAGTGCTGCCTAACCTACAGTACAGTCAATTAAACATTGTATTTTTTTGCTTCGAAAAAAAATTTGAAAAAAATAAAGGCCTTAGCTTGGTCATACTTCATACTAGGCATTTGTGACTCACTACACTCATTGTTCAAGTTGTTGGCAACAACTGTGTAGAATTTCAGATCTCTAGGACAAAGGGTTTTGATGCTGTGAGCCTTTATGTAAACAAAATGACAATTCGGCACAAGATTGTCAAATTTGTGCCAAAATAATAATATAATACTAATAATAATAATAATAATAATAATAATTGTTATTATTATAATACTAATTCTTCTGAGCTTTAGGCATGTTTTCTCAAAAAAAAAAAAAAAAAGTAGCCAAAATTGTCTTCCAAGTGGCAGATCTGCCCTCTGTGGCCCCTCCCGCACTGATCCCTGTCTCCCTCACTCTTACGCTTAGAAATACAGGGTCCATTTCAAAGATTATCTGCATGTCCCACCCACCGTTTGAAAGCTCTGGTGATTGGCTAAAACAATATGTCAATCACTTTCTGGAAGATCCAATGACTGAAGAGATTTCCCGTAAACAAACTGATGACGCGTGCGTAAAGCCAGAAAGTACGTGAGTGCGTTAGCTTCTTCAGCGGCTTGTCCCACCTAAACCCCGGCACCGACAACAGCGGGGAGGGTCTCATTTTGAAGCTAAGAGTGTGAGGAAAACAAGCGCACCCAAGAGCGCCAAGAGAAACAGAACTCAGAGAGGGAGAAGGCTCAGAAAGGCGACATATAGTTTCATTCACGCATTCATCCACTCATACGGACGAGGATTTTCTGGATTATTTCCCCACATGGAATTATTTTATGGAAAAAACTACTTTATATTCTTTTTCTGTGGATTATTACGGACTTATTGAGTACAACTTTTCATGGCTTGAACGCGTTTTGGACCGACAGAACCGGCTCAAAGGTAAGAAACGCGTATCTCATTCTTTGATTATGATGTGAAAGTTATAGCGTTTTGGGCTCGTTGTACGGCATAAAATGAATGATATGGTTGTTTTATTGATAAATTAAGCTTTCAAACGATGTATGGCCAGTAGTGAAAACAATAATGAAGGTGAATATACAGAGTGAACATTTTTTATTGGAAAATCGCCCGCCGGCGGGCGGGTGGTAAGTGGTTTTAATGTAGAAGATTTAGAGCGAGAACAGAACGTCAGTTTTTCATCTTGTTCATATGGAAATTTGACAATAAACATTTTGACTTGAATTGAAAAGTGTATCATAGCAACCAAAGAGCCAATCAGGAGCGAGACTGCTGGAGGTAACACCCCTTAGCAACGCTGTCAATCAAACCTGTTTCTAACGCGAGTGGGAGGGGCCTCGGAGAAAGAAGGCGTCTGATTGGTCTGTTCTTAATGTTCAGATCTGGATTTGGGACAAAATGTTGAAATCCAAACCCCAGGGTCATGAGAGCGGGGTCAAAGGTCAAAGGTCAGAGTCAGGAGCCTGACAGCAGGGGTCAAAGGTCAGAGTGAGGATCCTGACAGCAGGGACGCACCGATCAGAGGAATCCGATTGGACGACGAAGGTAAAATCTCGTTGAGCAGAAGCTGCATCACCGTCACGGCGAGGAGCACAGTGACCTTAAAACCCAACTTCTCTCCTCCAGAGTCCGAGATCAGGAACGAAGCAAAGTCCAACACCAAGAAGAACAGAACCGGGAGGATGAAGTTCGCGATGTAGAGGATGGAACGACGCTCCATCAGGATCTGAGGAGGAGAGAGAAGGAGGAGAGAAGAGAGGAGAGGAGAGAGACGAGAGGAGAGAGGAGAGAGGAGAGAGGAGAGGAGAGAGACGAGAGGAGAGAGACGAGAGGAGAGAGGAGAGGAGAGAGACGAGAGGAGAGAGGAGAGAGGAGAGAGACGAGAGGAGAGAGAGAGACGAGAGGAGAGAGGAGAGAGGAGAGAGAGAGAGGAGAGAGAGAGAGAGAGAGAGAGAGAGAGAGAGGAGAGAGGAGAGAGAGAGAGAGAGAGAGAGAGAGAGGAGAGAGAGGAGAGAGGAGAGAGAGAGGAGAGAGAGAGAGAGAGAGAGGAGAGAGAGAGGAGGAGAGAGGAGAGGAGAGAGAGAGAGAGAGAGAGAGAGAGGAGAGGAGAGAGACAAGAGGAGTTAAGTGTTTGTTGTCATAGTTTCTCAGGCTGATGACGCTTAATTTCTGAGCTTAATAAATATTTAAATATCACCACAGACTGAAATAATCGACACTGAAAAATAATCGTGACTTGTCATCAGCATCTGTTACTGCACCTGTTGTCACTGACATCCACCCACAGGTCCCTGTCACTGCCTGACCTCTGACCTCTGACCTCTGCAAAGGCCTCAGAGGGATCACATCACCGAGGAAATACTTTTGCTACTGTCCCTAGAGACCTGAACTCGCCTTGAGCTCAACAGAGGACAACAGAGGCGGCTGTAGGTCTCTGTTGTAACAGATACTCACGGTGTAGGTGACGATGTCCTGATTGTAGCCGAAAGGGTCCACTTTGGACTTGGTGACGGTGACGTTCTTGAAGATCCACTCGTACTGAGTCCTCATGACGTCCAGAGACCACTGTGTCACCATCTCCGAGTTATATGACCGAAGACTGAGCTCTTCATCTGAAAAAAGTTTCAGAACATGAGGAAATGAACGACTGCAGCTGTGTCCAGGTCTGGACAGTGTTAGGAAGTGAAAGTGCAGTGACATCACGCTGGAGGTGTTCTACATGTAGGTACTAGGGATGCAATGATCTTAGATATAATATGGAGTCATGTCCTGGTTGGATCTTGGTGTTGGTGGATCCACTCGTGTCCCTGCAGGTCTCTGTGTGTGATTTGTTTTGGTCAGAGTTGGTCCAGTTCTCTTGACATGTTCCTCAGATGCAGAAACAGAAAACAGCTCCACAGAGACTCACAGCTGAAATATTCTAACAGAGGAGGGTTTAATATTTACTCACTTTTTATTTGACACTCATAGACCCAGGAACAACAAATAGATTCACTTTAAATACTTTAGAATCACTTTTTGCTTCATATCGGCTTTAAAAACTTGATGTTTTTCTCACACTCTGTTTCAGACGTTTGAGTCAGAAAACATCTGAGACATTTCTGTGGAACAGAACAGAGTCTGAGTGTCCAGAAAGTTACTTTGGTAACTGAAAAACAGACTGAAAATGTGACAATAGCTGTTGATAGTGTGAGCACAGAGAGAGTGAGCGACATCAAATATTTTGGAATAATTTTAGATGAAAAAGTTTATTAGAAGTCTCATGTAGACTACAGACTAGACTTTTTCTAAACTAAAAGATTTGTTAGATTGTAAATCACTTCATGTTACATTGCTCAATAATTCTCCCATATTTTAGCTGCTGGTCAGAGGTTTTCAGCAAAGCTTCTCCAAGTACCAAAAAACCTTTGTTCCTGCTGCAAAAAGGAGCAACATGAGTCATTTTGTTTTGTTTTTTTTAATCTGTGAAAGGAGCAGGTTTAAAAGATGTTTCTTCTTCCTGTTCCTTTTGTTCATGCAGCAAAGACGAGACAAATGATGGTTGGAATATTTTGACTCCACACGTCTTCATTAGAATCATTTGGATCATCTCAGTCCTGGAGGACCACAAGGTGGACCACAAGGTGGATCACAAGGTGCCAGTGTAACACAAAGTTTTAAGAATGAGTGACGTCTTCATTTTGAACATTGTCTCTCCTCACATGTGGTAATGTTCTTATTGTGTGTGACTGAACCCTGTGTGTGTTCTCACCATCCAGCAGCACCGATCTGTACGACAGGTTGCACCTTTGGGTGTCGAAGGGAAACTTGTAGATGTGCAGCCGGCAGGTGCTGATGATCACCTGGTCGTTCTTGTAGAGCACATCGCCATTAAATTTGATCGAGATAAATGGACTCGGGGTGGACTTGTCCCTCTCAGTCCTGGAGCAACAAGAAGAGACAAAAACATGTCACCATAGTAACGGTAAATCTCCAGAGAGTCATGTCGCACTAGGGGGCTACTGCATGGATGTCTATGGAGCTCAGCATTGTAGTCTGCACATTTTGAAACAAATGTTTATTTGTATTTTATTTCACAGTCAGCTGCTGAATCCTACAAGTGTCACCCATGAAGAACATCAAACTGGAGAAGGAAGAGCAGATGTCACAGTGTGAACATCACAGTGTGAACATCACAGTGTGAACATCACAGTGTGAACATCACAGTGTGAACATCACAGTGTGAACATCACAGTGTGAACATCACAGTGTATGTCACAGTGGGTGTGTATGTCATTTGGGACGATACAAGAGACACAGATGAGTTTCCTCCGCAGGGCGTCTCCCTTAGAGACAGAGTGAGGAGCTCGGAGTAGAGCCGCTGCTCCTCCACATGGAGAGGAGCGTCTGAGGGGAGGACGTCTGTTCTGATGTCTCCTGGACGTGTCCCTCAGGAGGTGTTCATGTTCCACCAGGAGGAGGCCCCGGGGAAGACCCAGGACACACTGGAGGAGCTGGAGGAAGTGTTTGGGGTGAAGGAAGTCTGGGAGTCCCTGCTCAGTGTGTGTGTGTATGTGTGTGTGTATGTGTGTGTATGTGTGCGTGTGTGTGTGTGTTGTGTGTGTGTTGTGTGTGCGTGCGTGTGTGTGTGTGTGTGTGTACGTGTGTGTGTGTGTGTGTGTGTGTGTTGTGTGTGTGTGTGTTGTGTGTGCGTGCGTGTGTGTGTGTGTGTACGTGTGTGTGTGTGTGTGTGTGTGTGTGTGTGTGTGTGTGTGTTTGTGTGTGTTGTGTGTGCGTGCGTGCGTGTGTGTGTGTGTGTGTGTGTGTGTGTGTGTGTGTGTGTGTGCGTGCGTGTGTGTGTGTGTGTGTGGTCCTCACATTTCCACTATGGTGATATCAGGTGTCCACAGTTTTCCGACGGGAATGGAGATCTTGAACATCTGACAGGAGTCATTAATGTCCCACCTGATGAAGTCATTTTTCCACTCCTGAAACACACACACACACACACCATCATGAAACACACACACACCATCATGAAACACACACACACACCATCATGAAACACACACACACCATCATGAAACACACACACACACACACACATCATGAAACACACACACACACCATCATGAAACACACACACACACACCATCATGAAACACACACACACACATCATGAAACCACACACACACACACACATCATGAAACACACACACACACATCATGAAACACACACACACACCATCATGAAACACACACACACCATCATGAAACACACACACACCATCATGAAACACACACACACCATCATGAAACACACACACACACCATCATGAAACACACACACACCATCATGAAACACACACACACACACACACCATCATGAAACACACACACACCATCATGAAACACACACACACACCATCATGAAACACACACACCATCATGAGACACACACACACCATCATGAAACACACACACACCATCATGAAAGACACACCAGACACACACTCACCATTGAGGTCCACACGTAGGAGACCATGGTCTGGTCGATCTCTCTCTGTGAATCCAACAAAACATAAAACTGCAGTTAGTTTGTGACACAGACTCTGACGTTTGTGAGGATCTTGGCTCTGGCTCCTCAGGCTCCTCATTCTAACCTTTGACCCCTCAGTGGTCCAGGTCTAAACCAGGTCTAAACCAGGTCTGTGTGTGTTCTAGTCTCTGTGCTTTTATACTTCTTCTGATCCAGATTGTTCTAAACACATTCAGGAAACGTTCTGCTCTGTTCTGTCAGTGGGACTTTTGTAGGATCCAGACCTGAGGAACACGAGGCTTTGATATTATTTTTAGTCTTGATTATTCTCAGATTTTGGATCATGAGACTGTGGTGGAGGTTTTGCACTCACCACGTCCAGGATGGCGTAGACGATGATGTCCAGCAGCACGTCTGTGGGTTTGGTGTGGTTCCACACGGGGCGGATCAGAGAGAACATGTCCGAGTTCTGGCTGAGCTGAAGATGCTTCATGATGGAGTAGTACGAGCAGTTCTGCTTGGACGCCTCATCTGTCCACCCGAACTCCTCATCTGTCGACCCGGACGCCTCATCTGTCGACCCGGACGCCTCATCTGTCGACCCGGACGCCTCATCTGTCGACCCGGACAGTAAATCTGACACAAAGACACAAGAAGCTCTTTACATATGGTTGTAGTGATGCAGTGTCACACATGTACTCGAGTATCCCAGTTCTGAGCTCCTTGTTATATCTGTGCCATAGTTACCATAGCAACCAGTGTAAATCTCCAGGACACTCAGGTTCCTGTTTCTCTGAGCGCCTGGAAACACCACGTCCAGAATCCTGCCATAACCGTGAGACTCGTAACTCGTAACTCGCTCTGTTCTTTAGACTTTTATAAAACACTGCAAGAAAAAAGATCTTGTTTCCTTGGAGAAGTGTTTAATGCCATACTGTGGGACATTAACTCTGCTCAGACAGATTATCTGACATTTGGGAGTCACAAAGTCTCAAGGATCCATTTTGGCATGTGCAGCACATGGACCAATCACAGAGCAGCGTTGTGGTTTAAGATGGAGGTCGGCCTGATGGACCTGGCAGGTGGCTCAGACTGACCACGCCTCCCGTCGCCCGGCGCTCTCTGGACGAGGGGGTTCCAGGTGTGTGAAAGGAGGAACGCTCCGTCATCTCGGTTCATGGCGTCCGAACACAACTCCTGCTCCGGTCATACAGGGACTGGACAGCCCTGAGCAAAGGGCCCCGAACCCCAGACTCCCAGAGCGCCCCCCACAGGACACCACGAGGGACACGGTCGAACACTTCTCCAGATCCACAAAGCACATGTGGACTGGTTGGACAAACTCCCATGACCCTCGAGCAGCTGATGGAGAGTGTAGATCTGGTCCAGTGTCCACGACCAGGACCAAAACCACACTGCTCCTCCTGGATCCGAGGTTCGACTATTGGCCGGATTCTCCTCTCCAGTCCCTGGCACAGACCGGGGAGGCTGAGGAGTGTGATTCCCCTGGAGGTGGAACACACCCTCCAGTCGCCCTTCTTATACAGAGGGACCACCACCCCGGTCTGACAGTCCAGAGGTTCTGTCCCGACCGCCACGCGATGTTGAAGAGGCGTGTCAGATAAGACTCACAACATCCAGAGACTTAAGATACTCAGGACGGATCATCCACCCCCGGAGCCACTGAGGAACTTTAACCACCTCAGTGACTTCAGCCAGGGTGATGGACGAGTCCACCTCCAAGTCCCCAGCCTCGACTTCCTCCTCGGAAAATGTGACGGTGGGATTGAGGAGATCCTCAAAGTTTTCCTTCCACCATCCGAGAACATCCCCATTCGAGGACAATAGCTCTTCCCCTGCACTGTAAAGAGTGTTGGTGAAGAACTGCTTCCCCCTCCTGAGGCGCCGGACGATTTGCCAAGTTTTTTGAGGCCGACAAATAGTCCTCCTCCATGGCCTCTCCGAACTCCTCCCAGCCTCAAGTTTTTGCCTCCTTAGGACTCCTTCTTCAGCCTGACAGCATCCCTTACTTCCGGTGTCCACCACCGGGTTCAGAGATTGCCTCCGCAACAGGCACCACAGACCTTACGACCACAGCTATGATATGAATATAGAGTCCATCCCTTCTCAAGGATTTGGGTTGTGGCTTGTGCGGGATGTTGAGCGTTGCCAACTAGATATAGTCGGCCTCACTTCCTCACCTCCAGCTCAGGCTCCTTCCCCTCCAGCGAGGCAGTCTTCATGTCCGGAGATCCCGTCGTCGAGGCCCCTGCCTTCGACTGCTGCCCAGATCTTCACGCACTGACCCCACATGGATCCCTCGCAGGGGGTTGGTCCACGAGAGGACAGAGCTCCCACCCCAGGTCTGGCTGCAGGGTGGGGCCCTGGTGACGTCAAACCGGGCGACATAACTGGCCTTTCCATTGTGCTCATCCTAAGGGCTTCTAAACAGCTCTTAGTCTGACCCCAGGACCTGTTTGGGTGACCCGGCGCATGAAGCCCCCGACAACACAGCTCCCAGGATCATTCAAACACCTCCAGCACGTTAAGGCGGCGGTTCAAGGAAACATTCGACGAGTGCGATGGTATTTGATTACAGTCAGTAAATGTGCAGAGGCTGTTCAATATCACTGCAAATCCAGTAAAAGAACGTGACCGTAAATATTAGGAACTTGAAAAATGCCAAACTGTCATTTAAAACAAACATAACCAGAGCAAATGGAAATAGATTTATAAAACACATTGATATAAATGTGCCAAAATAACTGTAAAATACAAATAAATATAGGACATTACAAACATGATCTCGATTTAGTCTCGATGGGCCGTGGTCTTGGTCTTGTCTCAGTCTGGACCCTCAGTGGTCTCGGTCTTGTCCTGGTCTGGGGACCCTGTGGTCTGGACTGTGACACTGGTTTGACTCCAGTGTTTAAGTTGTGTTTTTTCATGGGTTCAGTTCTTCCTCTGATGTTCAGTAGTTTGACTGTGTTCTAATGCTCCTGCTGCCCCCTGCTGGTCTGTTGGCAAATGGGAAAATCACTTTAACTGCTGATGCTTGGGTAAATATTTGTAAAACCATCATAAAAACCTCAAGCTCCGACTTATATATTGTATATTATTATTATATATTATAGAGAGTTTATGTGAAGAACACAGATATTTTCATTACCCCTTGAATTAAAGAACATCAGACTAAGAGCGCGGAACAAGGTCATTGTTGGAGAAACTGTGGACAATCATCAGTTGGACATTTTCACATATTCCCAAGATCGCCCCCTACTGGACACACATCATTAAACACATGACACTTATTACAGGACTGAAACTGGAGGAACATTTTAGTGTTTTTTTATCTGGGAAACACCGACTGGGCTAAAAAATAAAAAAAAAAAGACAAGCAGCCAGCAGGAGGCGATCACGCGGAAATGTCTACAGGACAAACCTTCAGAACGAGCGGAAATAATCAACGAAATTCTGGTTCTGGAACATTTTTCTTGAGACACTCCCAGGATAAAGAACGGTATTGGAAAAAGTGGAAATCTTACAATCAAAACAAACCCTAATGTAAATGTTTTATACATCTTTGCACATGTCACTTGATGGGCTCCTTTTTTTTTTTTTTTTTGTTATTCAAGTTTTTATTACATTTTACAATCTTTACCACACAGCATAGAACAGAACAGACAGCAGCACCACCTTGGGCCGAAGGAGCAAAACCACAAATCCATCTGCACATCTGCACATGCAAGTGCACTCCAGAGCAAAAACAAAGAACAAAACAACAATTCCAAAGTGCATGTGACAAGCCTGAACACCTTTTTCACTCAGTTTAACCTGTTACAAGTACAATTAGTTTCAATTCTAAAATAAAAGGCCAAATCCATAAAGGCCAAAAACAAAGATTTGTTTTCCTAATGTACCAGTTTCAAATGTGTTTTAGTCAATGGAGCAAACAAACCTGTCACAGGCATTTCAATCAAAAACAGGTGTCCAAGATTTGACAAAAATGTCCATGTCATTATTCAACTGAGCCAATAATTTCTCATATGAGACTATTTTCATTTTCAAATTGTCCATCCATCTGTTAAAGTCTGGAGGAGAAGGATCCTTCCAAACACCAAGAATGACCCCCACCTTTAAAACCACATACTCACATTTTGTTACCCCTGGCGTTACTGATTTATCCCCAAGTCAACATCATATTGGTGACCTGGGTATAGTTTTACCAATCCACCTTTCTATACACTCCAGTTCTCTCTCCCAAAAGGGACGAACTTCCCCACATTCCCAAATAGCAGCATAAAGGTTCCAGAGGCCAAATGGCATTTCCAGAAACTGTCATTGGTCATGAGCCCCAGTCTTTTGAGTTTAGAGGGGGAATAATACCGTCCATGTACAAGTTTATACTGGCTCAATTTCCCTCTGGCCTCCTTCCTTTTTTATTTTTCATAATTTTTTCCTTTTTTTTTTTGGTCATTCTGATGATTTATTGTGTTCTATAAAACTAATAATCTGTGTGTGTAAATATGTGATATACAAAACTAAAACGTTCTAACAAAAAGAGTCCCGGGTCACAGGAGGACGCGCCCGGGTGATGGACGCGTCTAATGCAGCGGATGTACAGAAGGATGTGGGCACAGACTCTTATCTCCATTAGAACTGAAGAGTCCAAAACCACAACATCTCACCACAGCTCCTCCCGACCAGAGACGGACGCTTCAGCACTAACAGGGTTAAAAAGCTCCACTGCGGGACATTTCCTCAGTAATCCTCCGGCCGAGCTCCTGACCCGTCCACAGCCGAGACGCACGACCAGATTCACAACAGACACAATTCTCCGTCCAAAAAGCTCAACATGAGACGCTTCAAAAGTACAGACCAGAAGTGGCACCAAGTCGCTGTTTAACAAGTCTCAAGGAAGTCCCAAGTCTCTGACCTCAAGTCCCAGTCGAGTCCCAAGTCTCTGGTCTCAAGTCCCAGTCAAGTCCCAAGTCTCTGACCTCAAGTCCCAGTCGAGTCCCAAGTCTCTGACCTCAAGTCCCAGTCAAGTCCCAAGTCTCCGACCTCAAGTCCCAGTCAAGTCCCAAGTCTCTGACCTCAAGTCCCAGTCAGTCAAGTCTCTGCCTCAGTCCCAGTCAGTCCCAAGTCTCTGACCTCAAGTCCCAAGTCTCTGACCTCAAGTCCCAGTCAAGTCCCAAGTCTCTGGTCTCAAGTCCCAGTCTCTGACCTCAAGTCCCAAGTCTCTGACCTCAAGTCAGTCAGTCCCAAGTCTCTGACCTCAAGTCCCAGTCAAGTCCCAAGTCTCTGGCCTCAAGTCCCAAGTCCCAGTCAGTCCCAAGTCTCTGGTCTCAAGTCCCAAGTCTGAAGTCCCAAGTCTCTGACCTCAAGTCCCAGTCAAGTCCCAAGTCTCTGACCTCAAGTCCCAGTCGAGTCCCAAGTCTCTGACCTCAAGTCCCAGTCAAGTCCCAAGTCTCTGGTCTCAAGTCCAGTCAAGTCCCAGTCAAGTCCCAAGTCTCTGGTCTCAAGTCCCAGTCAAGTCCCAAGTCTCTGACCTCAAGTCCCAGTCAAGTCCCAAGTCTCTGACCTCAAGTCCCAGTCAAGTCCCAAGTCTCTGACCTCAAGTCCCAGTCGAGTCCCAAGTCTCTGGCCTCAAGTCCCAGTCAAGTCCCAAGTCTCTGACCTCAAGTCCCAGTCGAGTCCCAAGTCTCTGGCCTCAAGTCCCAGTCAAGTCCCAAGTCTCTGGTCCTCAAGTCCCAGTCGAAGTCCCAAGTCTCTGGCCTCAAGTCCCAGTCAGTCCCAAGTCTCTGACAAGTCCCAGTCAGTCCCAAGTCTCTGACAAGTCCCAGTCAGTCCAGTCCCAAGTCTCAGTCCCCTCAAGTCCCAGTCAAGTCCCAAGTCTCTGACCTCAAGTCCCAGTCAAGTCCCAAGTCTCTGACCTCAAGTCCCAAGTCTCTGACCTCAAGTCCCAGTCAAGTCCCAAGTCTCTGACCTCAAGTCCCAGTCGAGTCCCAAGTCTCTGACCTCAAGTCCCAGTCAAGTCCCAAGTCTCTGGCCTCAAGTCCCAGTCAAGTCCAGTCAAGTCCCAAGTCTCTCAAGTCCCAGTCAAGTCCCAAGTCTCTGGCCTCAAGTCCCAGTCAAGTCCCAAGTCTCTGGCCTCAAGTCCCAGTCAAGTCCCAAGTCTCTGACCTCAAGTCCCAGTCGAGTCCAGTCAGTCCCAGTCTCTGACCTCAAGTCCCAGTCGAGTCCCAAGTCTCTGCCTCAAGTCCCAGTCAAGTCCCAAGTCTCTGCCTCAAGTCCCAGTCAGTCCCAAGTCTCTGGCCAGTCAGTCCCAAGTCTCTGGCCTCAAGTCCCAGTCGAAGTCCCAAGTCTCTGACCTCAAGTCCCAGTCAGTCCCAAGTCCTGACCTCAAGTCCCAGTCGAGTCCCAAGTCTCTGGCCTCAAGTCCCAGTCGAGTCCCAAGTCTCTGACCTCAAGTCCCAGTCAAGTCCCAAGTCTCTGGCCTCAAGTCCCAGTCGAGTCCCAAGTCTCTGACCTCAAGTCCCAGTCAAGTCCCAAGTCTCTGGCCTCAAGTCCCAGTCGAGTCCCAAGTCTCTCCCAGTCGAGTCCCAAGTCTCTGGCCTCAAGTCCCAGTCAAGTCCCAAGTCTCTGACCTCAAGTCCCAGTCAGTCCCAAGTCTCTGAAGTCCCAGTCAGTCCCAAGTCTCTGACCTCAAGTCCCAGTCAAGTCCCAAGTCTCTGACCTCAAGTCCCAGTCGAGTCCCAAGTCTCTGACCTCAAGTCCCAGTCAAGTCCCAAGTCTCTGGCCTCAAGTCCCAGTCAGTCAGTCCCAAGTCTCTCTGTCCTCAGTCAAGTCAAGTCCCAGTCAGTCCCAAGTCTCTGTCAAGTCCAAGTCAAGTCTCAGTCCCAAGTCGAAGTCCCAAGTCAAGTCCCAGTCTCTGGCCTCAAGTCCCAGTCAAGTCCCAAGTCTCTGGTCCTCAAGTCCAAGTCGAGTCCCAAGTCTCTGACCTCAAGTCCCAGTCGAGTCCCAAGTCTCTGGCCTCAAGTCCCAGTCGAGTCCCAAGTCTCTGGCCTCAAGTCCCAGTCGAGTCCCAAGTCTCTGGCCTCAAGTCCCAGTCGAGTCCCAAGTCTCTGACCTCAAGTCCCAGTCAAGTCCCAAGTCTCTGGCCTCAAGTCCCAGTCGAGTCCCAAGTCTCTGACCTCAAGTCCCAGTCAAGTCCCAAGTCTCTGGCCTCAAGTCCCAGTCAAGTCCCAAGTCTCTGACCTCAAGTCCCAGTCGAGTCCCAAGTCTCTGACCTCAAGTCCCAGTCAAGTCCCAAGTCTCTGACCTCAAGTCCCAGTCAAGTCCCAAGTCTCTGGTCTCAAGTCCAGTCGAGTCCCAAGTTTTTGGTCATTTTTCCAAGTCGTTAAGTTGATGACTTGAGTCTGACTCGAGTCCAGGTCAGGTCTTTCAAGTCTCACCTCTTGTACAGGAAGAATTATTTTTACAAATACAAACGTGCATTAAAAATACTAAACACGATTACACAACATTTAGAGAAAAAATGAAAACAAAATGTTGAAAATCTTGCTGTAAATGTTTGAGCTCATATTTGGTTGAGTCTAAATAAAATAAAATAAACAACAAACGAGGGATAAATGTGCAGAAATTGAGACAATTTAGAAAAAAAAAAGAGAAAAGTGAATTAAATCCATAATTCTGAGTGAAAGTGGATTATTGTTAAAGTATAAAATGGTGTAAAGTGACTCACGGATGGAGAGGAGCAGGCAGCCCAGAGCAAACAGCTTCATGCTGAAACTCAAGTGTCGTCTGCACAATGAAGCACAAACAGAGAATCTGAAGTGAACAGGAGGAGCTACAGTGGCCCACAAGCTCCAAACACAAACACCACATCTGAGCACCAGTTTGGTTCTTTTACTGAAAGAGGAAGAAAATGCTCCTTTAAACTCATGTCACAAGAGTTTCTCTTCTCGTTTAAATGCTCCAAGTTTATGTGAGAGATTTGTGTGTTTGACTCATTTTTACTCTCCTGGACTCAAGACGCCATCGCTCCAAAAATCCAGATTTCCCCCTGAGCCGCCCACAGCCCGACTCACGTCAGGCTCACGCTCTCCTTCAGTCTGAGGATTGTCTCACTGAAAACCACTGGGACTGAACAGTGTCCTAGGACTTGAGGCCGGTCTCGCGGCGGGTCTCGGGGAGGGTCTCGGGGAGGGTCTCGGGGCCGGTCTCGGGGCCGGGTCTCGGGGCCGGTCTCGGGGCCGGGTCTCGGGGCCGGTCTCGGGGCCGGTCTCGGTCTCGGGGACGGTCTCGGGGCCGGTCTCAAGTCCTAGGACACTGTTCAGTCCCAGTGGTTTTCAGTGAGACAATCCTCAGACTGAAGAAGACCAAGGCCTCAAGACAAGGCCTTTTTACAGTCTTGGTTTCGTCTCGGACTCAAGCATATTTGGTCTTGGTCTTGTCGCGGTCTTGATGGGGCTTAGTCTCAGTCTTGTCTTGGTCACGAGCCGCATGTGGCTCACGAGCCGCACAGTGACTCTCCCCGCTCTGAACGATGCTTTCTAAACTCTTTTTCTCTATCAAAATAAATGCACGTTTAATCTCAGTATCATTTCTCTTTCATTTCTGAATGTTTAAATAACGTCACTGATGTTTAAATCACGACATTTACATCTAAACGAAAAAGTCCCACTGACAGAACAGAGCAGAACGTTTCCTCAAAGTGTTTAGAACGAACTGTGAGACACAGAGACTAGAAAACACACGTGGACCTGGTTTAGTCCTGGTTTAGTCCTGGTTTAGACCTGGTTTAGTCCTGGTTTAGTCCTGGTTTAGTCCTGGTTTAGTCCTGGTTTAGTCCTGGTTTAGTCCTGGTTTAGTCCTGGTTTAGTCCTGGTTTAGTCCTGGTTTAGATCTTAAACAAACAGACACGTGTAGGTTTCATAAGTTTATTGAGGCACTTGACAAATACTGAAAGAACAAATCCAAAATACTGAAAATGTGTAAATCTGTTTCACATTTGAGCGTCTGTAAACAGAGCGTCTGTAAACAGAGCGTCTGTAAGCGTCTGTAAACAGGGCGTCTGTAAACAGAGCGTCTGTAAACAGAGCGTCTGTAAACAGGGCGTCTGTAAACAGAGGCGTCTGTAAACAAACAGAGCGTCTGTAAACAGGGCGTCTGTAAAACAGGGCGTCTGTAAACAGAGCGTCTGTAAACAGGGCGTCTGTAAACGGAGCGTCTGTAAACGGAGCGTCTGTAAAGAGCGTCTGTAAACAGGGCGTCTGTAAACAGGTCTGTAAACGGGCGTCTGTAAACAAACAGAGCGTCTGTAAACAAACAGGGCGTCTGTAAACAAACAGCGTCTGTAAACAGAGCGTCTGTAAACAGGGCGTCTGTAAACAGGGCGTCTGTAAACAGGGCGTCTGTAAACAGGGCGTCTGTAAACAGAGCGTCTGTAAACAGAGGCGTCTGTAAACAGAGCGTCTGTAAACAGAGCGTCTGTAAACAGGGCGTCTGTAAACAGGGCGTCTGTAAACAGGGCGTCTGTAAACAGGGCGTCTGTAAACAGAGCGTCTGTAAACAGGGCGTCTGTAAACAGAGCGTCTGTAAACAGAGCGTCTGTAAACAGGGCGTCTGTAAACAGGGCGTCTGTAAACAGAGCGTCTGTAAACGGGGCGTCTGTAAACGGAGCGTCTGTAAACAGGGCGTCTGTAAACAGAGCGTCTGTAAACAGAGCGTCTGTAAACAGGGCGTCTGTAAACAGAGGCGTCTGTAAACAGGGCGTCTGTAAACAGAGCGTCTGTAAACAGGGCGTCTGTAAACAGAGCGTAAACAGTCTGTAACAGAGCGTCTGTAAACAGGGGTGTTACATTCAGGTTTCACAGAGTTTTTATAAAAATACAGAAAAACATTTGGCTCAAAACAAACACCTGAATCACAAACTAATAATTACAAACCGTACGGCTTTTCTACCACAGACACCTTCACCGCAAAAACACCGTCACGGGGGTCAACACATTCACCTCTGTGGGCTTTTACAGACGGGTATTTACTGCTCTGGGGTTTTTACTGTCAAATGTGTAAATCTTCATGTTCCTTTTATTATTTTGAAATTGTTTTCTTCACCCAAAACAACAATATGTTTTATGGAGAATTGTCATGTGGGGGCGGAGCCTTGTACAGACTCGTACTGTGGGGGCGGAGCCTTGTACAGACTCGTACTGT